ACGACGACAATCTTTGTGACCACTCTTTGTGCGACTTTGCGCTCTTGTCGCGATCGGTTGCGCTTGTTATATCCCTCGTACATCGGTTACCTTGCGCTTAGTCTTGTCCATCATTTCGCGCAAGTATCTCATTCTTGGTCGTACGTCCATTCGTTCGTTCATTCGTTCGCTCACTCGCGTCGTCGTCGTCGTCGTCGTCGTCGTTGTCGTCATTGTGCCGATCAGTGTCGATCCCCGAAGAAACCGGACATGAGAAGCAAACCACTCATCGGAAGTGTAGTGCTAGTGTAGTGTAATCTTAATGGAGCGTGCCGACGACGTATAGCCGACGTACAGCCGCTCTCGTCGTGTTTCTCGTTACTCGCAACAGGTACGTGGTTGGAAGTTATGATTCACGCAGGACGTCGTTCCATCGTGCTTTCTTATCACTCCGATAACTCCGTATTTTCCGAAAAAATCGGCTAAAGCCGATAATAATATTCGAGTTTATTTTCCCTTCTGTAGGATCTCAAATGGGACGCGTCGGAGGCGCGTTCTCGAGATGAAACGGAGCGGAAGTGCGCTTCGGAAATGATGAAGGAGGATTCGGTGCCTAGTTTCGGTAATGCATGCGCGATCGTGGCAATCCGTCGTCTCTTCTGTTTAACACTTAAAAAAAAGATATCAGAAACCTTATTAGTCATTTAGAAAAGATGATGACAGTTTCAAGCATCTCTCGATAGTTTGTTGTGCTTTTTCAAAAATGTAATGATAATTTTTCGAAAAATTTGCATCAGTGTGGAAGAATAGGTATTATAACGAGTATTATAACGAGTGCCTTTCTGAAATAAATTTCAAATTGCTCAAGTGGGTTATTGTAGCAACGTGATGGCGTGGATTTTATCTATATAGCACGCGGATTAGTGAAATATTAAATGATTCTGTTAGCCTGATTTTGTGCAGCTTCACTTAAATATGCGAAATCAATCTTTATAACCGTATTTATCGCATTTATCGCATTTACCGCATTGGCAAATTAAGTTCTCGTAAATTAAGAGCTTCGACTTTGATTCTTTGTAATGTTACTGCTAGATAGATAGTTTACGCTTTCCATCCACGCGACTATTGTCGCGTGTCTATGAACTCGAGCGCGTAACGACGAGGAACTTAGCGTGAATCGCTTTAATAAGAGAAAAAAAAATAAGTATGACAAATCGCTTCGACTGATACGTATATGCGCGGATATCGCGCGCGGTAGGTGCTCTGATAATAAGAAAGATAAGTATGACAACAAGATAAGGAGTTAACGGCGGAACGACTTGGGACTCTTTCGACATTAGAGGCCTGTTCTTTCGCATTGCACTGGATTGCACTGAAATTTTCTTTCTTGCTCTCACCAAACTTGAAATATATTCAAATGCATTCTGTTTCATTTCTGTTTCAAGTATGTATGTATGTATGTATGTACGTACGTACGTACGTACATACATACATACATACATACATACATACATACATACATACATACATACATACATACATACATACATACATACATACATACGTACATACATACATACATACATACATACATACATATATACATACATACATACGTACATACATACGTACATACGTACATATGTATATATACACACACACACACACACATATATATATATATATATATATAA